AAAGACAAAAAGGAAAAAAAAAAAAAAAAAAAAAATCCATGCTTAGACCCATGCTTGGGTGGAGAAAAATTTTAAAGCGAGGGAAAGATGAGCATAAATAGAAGAATGGCTATCTCAGGTGAACGGGGGAGGAGTGGATGGGAGAGTAGAGAGCAAGGAGCTCAGGTGGGAACTGGCTTGTGCGGGGCCTGCAGGTCACAAGGACACTTTGGTATTTCCCCTGAAAGCACTGGGAAATCAGTGGAAGGTTTTAAGTGGAGGTGAGACAGGATCAAACTTATTCTCCCACTACTGAAAGTGTGGTGTGGGAACCATCAGCATCCACATCATCTGGGAACTGATAAGAAATGCAGACTCTCAGACCCCACTGCAGACCTACTGAGCTGGAATTCGTATTTTTTGTGTGTGTGTGTGTGTGACCGGTAAGGGGATGGCAACCCTTGGCTTGGTGTCGTCTGCACCGCGCTCAGCCAGTGAGCGCACCAGCCATCCCTATATAGGATCCGAACCCGCGCGGGAGCACCGCTGCGTCCCAGCGCCGCACTCTCCTGAGTGCGCCACGGGGTCGGCCCTGGAATTCGTATTTTTTTTGTGTGTGTGTGTGTGACCGGTAAGGGGATGGCAACCCTTGGCTTGGTGTCGTCTGCACCGCGCTCAGCCAGTGAGCGCACCAGCCATCCCTATATAGGATCCGAACCCGCGCGGGAGCACCGCTGCGTCCCAGCGCTGCACTCTCCTGAGTGCGCCACGGGGTCGGCCCTGGAATTCGTATTTTAACGAGATCAAGCAGACCCCCTTCCCCCTGGCTCAGTGCATTTGGAAGTTTGAGAAGCCTGGGCTCCCTGCTGTGAGGAGGAGGCGTGGCAGGGGGCCAGAGAGAGGATGGGAGACCAGGAAGAGGTCACTGCAGTGGTCCGGATAGGAGATGGTGGTGACAGTGGGGGAGATGGGAGACTTATATTCAAGCTACATTTACAGGGTAAAATCAGGTGGACTTGGGGTTGGATTTTATGAGAAAGTGAGGGGGAAAGTGGGTCAAAATTGAGCCTTCTAATACATTGTGGAAGTTCCAGAGGAGTTTTGTGTAAGATCCTTTCCAGACTCTGAATTGGGATAAATAATAACGGTTGCCATTTATTGAGACACACCTAGAGCCAAATACCTTGGAAGTGCTTTGTAAGTACCATCCTGTTTAATCTTCACCACCTCCCTGTGAAGTAGGAACTGTTCTCCTCATTCTACAGATGAGGACACTGAGGCTCACAGAGAGACAGCTCACTTGGCTCATGGGTCGTGAGTGACAGAAGTACGGTTTGAATTTGAGTCTGACTCCATGAGTATCTCCCCAGCCTCTTACATGATATTCAAGTCTCTGTCCAACATCAGTTGCACCACTCCCCAGCATATTCCCGAAATGCTGATCATCCTGGATGACTTGCTGGTCAATTAAGGGTGACCCCAAGTTCTTGGCTATTCCTGCCACTGTGAGATGGAGTCTAGTCTTCTTCCTCTTGCACCTGGGCTAGCCTGAATGCCTTATTTGACCAAGAGAGCATGGTAAAAGCGACATTCCTGGAGGTCTGAGCCTGGGTCAACACTCCTTGCAACTTCCATTGGAGCCTCTTAAACATTGTCTCTGGGAACCCTGAGCTGCTAGAAGAAACCATCATGCTGGAGAGTCCACATACAGCCACTCTGGTCAACAGTCCAGCTAAGCCCAACTCTTCAGCCATCCCCATCAAAACACCAAACACCTTAGTGGAGCCATGTTGGACCCACCAGACCAGCTGCCAGCCTAAAACCTGGCTTCAGTCAATGCCATATGGAAAAGAAGAATTACTTGGCTGAGCCCAGCCCAAATTTCTGACGAGCCATGTTGGACCCACCAGACCAGCTGCCAGCCTAAAACCTGACTTCAGTCAATGCCATATGGAAAAGAAGAATTACTTGGCTGAGCCCAGCCCAAATTTCTGACCTACAGAATTGTGATATATCATAAAATGGTTGTTATTTTAAGCCCTGTGTTTTGGGTGTAGATTGCTGTGCAGTAGATAGCAGGTGTGCTGGCTCCTACATGCCCCAGCTCTCCAGCCTCTGTATCTCTCTTTACTCCATCCTGACACCTGGAAAAACCTTTTCCTAGACCCTAGACTATCAAAATTCTGCCTTCTAAGCAGGTCATATACAAAGGAAAATAGTCAGGCCACTGAGTGCTGCAGTTCTTCTGTTTGCCACTCCAGGTGTTCTCTCCACCCTTCTGCAGGTGCCCGGTGCATGCAGCCTCACTGCCAGATAACACCAGTGAGCTCTCTTGCCCTCTGGCTTCTGCTTGGGTTTGGTGCATGGGCAGGAGATCAGAAGATGAGAGGAGGGAAAGGTCAGGATGCTCATTCCCTCTCCCCCCTCCCTGCACAGTCATTGAGTCGACCACGTCTCTATTAAGGCCACAGCTCCTGGCAGGTCATCTTGTCCATTCTGTTCCCTCTCTAGGTTCCCTTCTGTCCCTTTCTTGAAAGGCAATGCCTCCTTTTGTTACTCACCCCAGGGCGCTGCACCATCCTCTATTGCTTTTCCTAACCTCTGCTCTGTGGGTTAGGGTTTCCCCAGAAGCAGAGGCTGAAATAAAGATTTGAATACAAGTAGTTTATTTGGGAAGAGATCCTGGGGAACACAAGAAAGGGACTGCAGAAATAAGACAGGTAGCTTGGCTGGTAATTTAGTACTACAGCACCAAACATCA